CCCCCCCCCCCCCCCCCCCCCCGCGGGGAGTGACTCACGGCAATCTACTTTTTATTCCACCTATTAAACCAATCTGCCGCCATTTCGTATGCTAATGTCCGTGCTTCGGCCAATTGGTGCTAAACGGCGCTTTCCTCCCCAGCCCGCAGCCGAGATCCCGGGAGAGCGCCGGGCCGGGCCGGTCCCCGCCCGCGGCGCCGTCCCGGTGCCGCCTCCCGGCCCCCGCCGGCAGCTGCAGGCACCGCTGGGCGTGCTGGCCCCTCGGAAGGGAGTCGGTGCAGCCCCGGAACCAGCGGCACGGTGGTTTTTGTTGGCGCTTTGGGGGTTTTTCTGTTTGTTTTGGCGAGGAAGGGAGGTAGGATAGGCCCCAGGTGAAGGCTGCTAACAAAGTCCAGCCCTACTTCTTTCTGCCCTCCTGGCGGCTCCGGCTGCTCTGCGGGAGCGGAGGCGGCTGCGAGCAGGCGTCCCGAGGGGAAAGCTGCCCCTTAGCCACCGTGGGAGACTCGAGACCTCGGTGTGTCTCTTCACATGCGGGAAGGGCTTTGTCTTTCCGCGCCTCTTGACAGCAGTGGCTGCCAGCTCGTCGCTAAACTCAGCGCCACGTTCTGCAGAATGCATACATGCCTTTATTGTGATACTTTAATAATTCTGCCAATCTTTTGCTTTTTGTCTGCAGAATCAAGTTGCTATTGTAAAGACCCACTGCTTGAAACTTCCCCAAGCCCAGTTGCCAGACTCATGATGCTGCAGAAACGTCAATACATTCTGCCACCAAACTGCTCAGCTCTGCGTTTCAGTGTAATGACTCTGGCAGAGATGCTGTTCCAATAGGCACGCAGATCAGTTGAAAAAAAAAAAATAAAAAATAAAAAAGGGCAGCCTCGAATCAAGGTCTATAATTCATCTGGAATGAAGAAAAAAAAGGTTGAGCGTAAACTCCATTTATTTTGCAGGCTTAACTTCTTAATTTGTTCTCCGGCCGGTTGTAGGGGTGTGCACAAGAGCACAGTTGTCTCTGTCTGTGTTGGTAGCATAGTTGTACTTCTGCACACCTGTAATTTCTTTCTTTCAGTGGAAAGAGTTGCTCCCTTCACCCATGAGGCCAAGAGAAGAAAAAATCACGTTTAAAATCGGAGCATCACAGTAAATTCTGTAAATGACTCCTTCAGCTGAACATGTGCGAGAAGTGACAGTGTGCAAAAGTTTTATATTTGTATTTCAAAACAATAGTAAATGCAAATGCTCTAGAAACAAGAGTTGTAGACCTGTTCAGCTGCACTGCATATCTGTAGTCTGTCCTCATAGTTGCCTTTAGAAAGGAAATACTTCTTGCTTTTACTCCATAAGAGCAGAAATCAAGAAGTCCAATGACCTTTTCCATAAACCAGCTGGGAATAGAAGTAGCAGTTTGATGCTGTAACCATGTTTTCCATTTTGTGTCGGTTGCACACCCTTACCGCATGAACCACTGCGAAATTTAGGATTCTCTAAGTACTTAACATTATTTAGTGTATTTTGTAAAGAAGTGAAGCAGTTTGCTCTTTCAAAAGAGCTATTTCACCTGCAAAATAAATACCCATGAATCATGAATTGACTGATGTTAGTGAAATTTCTTGCCTCCCTACTTCTCCCCTATGTTTTATTAGTTTTTTCTTCTTTTGTTTTGTTTTTTTTTCTTTTTTTTTTTTTTTCCTCCTGATTAGACCTTAAGACAGGTCTATGCGTATTCAGCAGAGTTTCAGGATATGGTCCACCTGCTGTGACAGAACTGCATTGATTGTTCCTCTTATGTGTAAATGAAAATGAGTATAAACAATAAAACGCTTGACTGTGTTCTCAAGAGTGGTAGCAATTGTGTGACTGAAAGGAGTACTTATTGGTTTACCCTTTTTCTCAGTATTGATTTTTTAGGTAACACTGATTTGATGAGTCACTCAAGAAAGCAATTGATGACGGTTGAAATTACAAGCTTCAATCCATTGTCAGTTTTCTAACAGGCAGCTTGACTTTCATTGTAGCTAGTTCTGTTAGGCATAATTCTTACTATTTTCATGTAGTATCAGGAAAAATGTTTAGGTTTTTTCACAAATAGTTTTCTTACTCCTTTAAAGGGAAACAGAACTTACTTTAACATTTGGTGGATACTGTGAACAATGCTCTTTTAAAGCTGTGTGTATGTATTCTAGATGGGGGCTGTTAAAGGCCTGGAAAAATCTTACATGATTTACCTGCCTGCTATTCTTTAGAGAGTTATTCAAGTAATAAGGACTTACTTAACTAGATAGTAAAAAAAGTGCATGACCCTTTGTGGTCCTACTGGTCATAGGCAGGAATTAATCTGTAAGATTCAAATTGAAGCAGTGGAAAATAAACATTTTCAGTAATTTGAAGAAATCCAAAAGAATTGCCTTGAAACTGCAAAACTCAAAAAAAGACAACTACTATATATGGTTCTAGAAAGTACCCTCTTAAATTATTAAAGACAAATGAGATAAGAGGAGTGTTCTAAAATGTTATATTATTTGTTTGAAATGCCTATAATAATTTTAAATTTTAGGGATTTTTTTGCATATATGGTGTGAAAAAAAGCAAGGAAGATAACATAAAACAACGCTTAACCAATTCTCATTTGTCAGTTTTTGTTCTTGTAGAATGAATTTTCTTTACCCCAACTTCTTCTTCTCACTGGGCTTCTTACATGTGTTAAAAATGGAAATAAGATTTAAAGCAAGTATTCTCAGCATTTCCAAAGACTTGAGTTTTCTGTCAGTTTTTCAAAGTTAGAGGGCTTGGAGAGCAGGGAGGTTCAGGAGTTGGGCTTTGTGTTCCTCACACTGTTGGAGTATACCTTCATCTTCAGCAATGGGCAGCAAATACACCCAGCTCCCTGTTGTGATGTGAGGATTTTGCAGAGAAGCGAATTCATCAGGAAAATATCCTTCTAAGTTTATGCTGAGACTCTGAACTTCCTGCACAAACAGTTAGGTAGCCGTGCTTGCTCTTGGGAGGACAGTCAGTGTGAAAGCTGTCCTGAGTGACTTGGGGACAGAGGAGAAGAGGCTGACTCAAGCCCTGCTGAGGTACCTGGTAGTTAAAGGCCTTGTGCTACTGGAGCAGCGGCATCTTCTTCAGAAAACCATTCACACGGGGGGATAGGTGGAGTGAGGACACACATCTGGTTGCAGTGAAAGAGAAGAAATGTAGGGCAACCATTGCTCAGTGCCGGAAAATATAAATATGTAAAGCGTGTTCCAAGATTCACGTAGAGTGTTTTAGGGTAGGAAGAATGTCCCGTGTGAGCTTAGCATCTCTGTAACTGGCAGAGTGTGTCCTGGTTGAACCTAGATTTTAAAAGATGCTCAGGGATGTGGTGGTAAAGTTTGACTCTCTGAAGATCTCTGAGAATGTTGCTGTCCTGCTTCTCCGTTCCCTTGCTGTGCCTGGTTACTGCACTCTGCCTCTGGGAGGATGGAGCATTTGAAATTTTTAGTAGGAAAGGCTGCCCTTTCTGTCCACCCAATGTCTGTACTCCTGTAGAAATGGCTCAGTGAATCCTGTCCTCTGGGTGTTTTCTCTTGGGAGCCTCTTCATGACTCTGCAGGTAAACTCCAAAGGTGCCTAAGCCCATGCTGTTCCAGTCTTTCATTACAGAAGCAGCATGCCTGTCTTTTATCTATTTCTTGCCTTGGGTTCAGACATTCCAATGATGCTTTTGATAGAAATCTCTGCTGGGCACTGAGGTTTGAAGTTGAACACACACTTGCAAACCTTGTGTTTCCTAGGTTTCACGGTAAGGGATATGTGTGTGACAGTGTTGCTGTGAGACATGACAGTTCAATAGTAGTTGCAATTGTGGGAGCAGCTGTTTGCAGCCCCATGGCTGCACTACTTTCCTGCTATTCCTCAGTTTTATTGAAGTGGCATTTCACACTTTTCCAATTAATAAAACATAGACGCTGAATATAGAAATCAAGAGAGGAAATCCCTTGCAATTAATCTTCATATGGCCATGCAGCAATCAACAAAGTCCTGCCTTTTCTGCATGAATAGGAAGAAAAAAATGCCTTGACTATGTGCCAAGTCTCCATGTGATAAAAGGGACCTCAACTAAATGTCTGGACGTTTACACCATGTTCCCTGCCAAAGCATTTGAAGAAGTTGGCTTAGCCTTCAGCCTCCAGCAGGGCTGTGTAGGATAGGGACAACTCCATTTGGAGCAGCTGATTTCTACCCTCTGTTGCCCCAGCCTGCAAAATGCCACTCTGCATTCCATCAAGAGAACACTCCAAGTGCTTTCTGACTCGAAAATGCTCTGCCCCTGTGTTCTCTTGGTCAGAAAGGACTGGATATTGTCAGAAGTAAGCACTTTTACATGAAAATCTAGATCAGTCTAAAGCTATTCTTTATGGAAGCAAAGTGAAAATGACAAGTAGTAACTGGAGAGCAAGAATTTCTGGTTTGTAGCAGCAAATGGGGTTGAGCAATGTGGCTGATAGCAATTCTGCAGGCAAATAGTAAAATTCTATTAAAATTGAAATGCAGCAGAGATTGAAGAGCAGGTTTCTCCACCAAAGAGAGGCTGGAGCAAAGAAAGACTTAGAGGAAGTCATCCAAAATCTCCAAGCCTTAAAGCAGGTTACAATTCCAACATCTCATGACCCCAGCAGACAGGTGTGCAGGCAGTTTCAGAAAGAAGAACCATGCCCAGAGACACATAAGAAAGTTAGAGGTGTGCATTTATGGAATGAAGTAGATGCCAGCTCCATTTTGTGAGTTGGTAACCTTTTTGTCACTAGAGGAACCAATCATATTTGAGATAGATCCTTAAACAACCCTCTTAGTGGTTCATATTAAGACCTTTTTGCATTCCAGCAGTTAGTACCTAAAACACAGAAGAAATTTAAGTGAACTCTCCTACAGCAGTGAGTCTGGCTGATAATGAGCTTGAAACATATGAATAATCATATAGAAAAGTAAGCAGAATATGAGGCTTTTTAATCAATCACATGTTAAGCTTGAAAGATGTAATACAACAAGCAGCTCAATAGATGAGATGAAGAGGAGATCCACGGGATATCAAATTTACAAGATAGAGATCAAAATCTCATACTGAGTAATTTTCAAGGTCTGGAGAAAGAAAGTCTTTGTTCTTTTCAGAGATCAAACTACTTGCAGTCATCCTTATAAAGGAACAAGACTTTTTTATTGTCTTTATAGAAATAATATTTTGAAGGCTACAAACAGATGGAGTTCATGGCTACAGGGCTTTCACTGAGAAATCATATGTTCTATCTTTAAGGCTGAATGGTCGTAGAAAAATAGGAAAGACATGAGCAGGGAGTGATTATGTAAAACAACCCCTTTTTGGTATTTCTTTCCTTATGCAGAACCAAAGCGAAAATAAGAACAATAGGAAGAAACAAGATCTGGAAAATATAAGCATTAATGATGTTATGTGAGATTTCAGGGATGTGTTTAGAGCCGAATGGGGAAAAGATAATAAATATATGTCTAGAATTCAGAAAAATGAAAATTAAATCACAATTTTCCCTCCATCCAGATACCTCAGGGGGTCCCACTTGCATAATATTACTTGTATAACATAATTTCTAAAAATCTTGATATTCCCAAATATGCTCAAATTAACATTTTTTAATACATTCATGTCCACTTTCACATTGAGGCACACACTTCCTAAGCTCATCCACTCTTTTTCCTGTAGACGTAAAATTTCAATTCCTGCCTGTATTTTGTGTTTAGAACATAAATCTCATTTGGACTCAGCCCTCCAATATCATCTGAAAAGATGAGAAATACTGTTTTCAAAAGGAATATGGGCATAAGTAC